TCTTCCGTGCTTTTTGTGCAGATGTTTGGAGGGACCCGTGCTCCTCTCGCCCCCGCTCTCCCCCGAGTGTCCTGAGTCGTAGGCAGAGACACCAAAGGGGGTGACAACTTGGAGGCCTCGGGGACCTCAGCGCCCAGGTTCCCCCCGCCCAGGTGACCCGTCTTTCCCGCTCACACCCTCCTCCTTGTCAAAGGACTTCCCCGCTCTGCCCTAGACGTCCCGTCATTGTCTACAGCAGAGGGGCCCTGAGGAGAAACGTGGACTTGTTTACACGATTTCCTAGCAGAGCCTGCAGGTTTCACTTCAGGAGACGGAAAGAATGATCTCACTCCGAGGTTTTATCCTGCCGTAGAGATGGAAGGACTGCCCTCCCAGCTTATCTCCAGTGTTAACGCTTTTCTGGAGAAATCGGCTAGGGAGGAGAAACGTCAAAGTGAACCCGTTTCTGCAAGCACGGGAAACCTTCGTCCAGGGGTTTTTCTTTGTTTGCGAAGAGGTGTTAGTTTAAAAAGGGAATTCTGAAAATTTAGACTTCATTTACTTATTGGTTTCATGTTTGTATGGACTGTGTATTAAGAACAATGCCGTCTTTGGCGGCATTAAACGTAAAATTGAAACGAGCCACCTCTTCGCGTTTGTGAGGTGTCCTGCTTTGGGGGATTACTGTGCCAACTCAGGCTGTCCCTGAGCAGAAAGTTACTGTGCCTGCGATCAAGGCACGGGTTTGTTTAGGGAATTAAGTTGGGACTATGTGGTCTCGATGTTTTAGTTCCATTGCGTTTGTATCGGTCTCTGATACCGCCTTACTTGTTTCTCCTGAACCCTTTTGCGGTGATATGTGTTGATAGAACTGAGGTGAGGAAAGATAACTCTCCGGGTGAGAGGTCTTTAATGAGGTCATGGCTAGGAAGTGATAAAGCCATTTCTAGAATCTTAGGTTTTCTGATGCCTCATTTAGGGCTCAATTCACTAATATTAAGTGTCATTTTTTTTGTGAGAATGAGGTAAGTGAGAAGAGGCAAAGAGGCTCACCTACAAAATTGAAGAAATACTGTTCAATTGCCCTTCACATTTATATTTTTAAGAGTTCATTTCTTAGCTTCTAAACTTTTTGTTATTTTAGTTTTCATGTTATTTTTTCCCCAAACATACCGAAAAGTTGAATAGCCCAGGTGAGCACTCATACCTACCGCCTTGTTTTTCCAGTTGTTAGTATTTTGCCACGTTTGTCTACCTATTACAGGTTGTTTTTAACTGAATGTTTTCAAAGCATGTTTCGTAGATTGTGACAATTCACACCTAAGTACTGTATGTATTTCAGTATGTATTTCATAAGATTAAGGCCAATTTTTATGTAACCACAATACCATAGTCACACCCTATGTATTTCATAAGATTAAGGCCAATTTTTTATGTAACCACAATACCATAGTCACACCCTACATAATCCCTGATAATCTTATGTATGTATGTAGTATGTATTCACGTGTTCCCTGTCCTTTTTAGTCATTTATTTTGAATTAGTATCTAATTATGCACTACATTTGTTTTTCTTTTAATTTAGTGCAGTTTCTCCCCTCCTCCCCCCTTTTTGGGGAGGACATTGACCTTTTGAAGAGAGGAGGTGGGTAAGTTTGTAGAGTAACCCCCGTTCTGTATTTTACTCACAATTTCTTCCTCATGGGGTTTAATTGTACCCTCCTATCCTCTTGTAAACTTGAAGTTAGATCTAAAGGCTTGAGTAGTTCAGGCTAAATATTTTTAGCAAGAATGTTTTATAAGTCATGCAGTGTATTGCACATTATACAACATCAGGAGGCACAGAAAGTAGGATTGTTCTATTGGTAATCCTAAATTTGATCTTTTGGATAAGGCAGTGACAGACTACCTATCCATTTTAAGCGTTTCCCTTTGCAATTAGCAGTAATCTATGGGGTGATATTTTGGCATTAGTATTTGGTATGAATTTACCTGTAGTAATCTGATAATACACAGTTGAGAGCAATCCTCTAGAAATGGGTATTTGGGATGAGGGATGGGAGCAGTTTTGAAGGACAGGACTAACTTATCTAGTTTAGGGAACTTGGAATTGCTGCTCCATTTGGCATCAGAGCCTAGGGTGATGAGGGGAGAGGAGACAGAAAGTAGGTATCGGTAGGTGTTTGCCTCCTTTGAAGGCTTGCTTAGGACCCTTGTAGCAGTAGGAAGCTGTGATTATAGAAAAGGTCTGGAGTAGTTTAATGTAGGAGGTTGACGAGCCTCAGCATCTCCGTTTTAACCCATTTTTCCCAGTTAGGCTGTCTAGTTTAGTCCTGATTCTTCAGTCTGGTGTTTTATACTCAGCATTGGTTTACTTAATAGGGGAGAGGAGGTCAAAGGGATAAATAATTTTGTACCCTCTTCTCTCACACTTGTTTTCTTTATTCTAAAGAACATTTAGAACCATACCAAGATTTCTTTTTCTCTACAGATTGGGCAGGGTATGTACTTAACATGGAATAGCAATTTTTGTAAATAGAAAGTAAATTATAGTTTTAGATGACAGGAAATTGGAGATTACTGACAACATATTATTTCAAAATTAACTTTTGAAGGTTGAGAAATATTTATGACATATTAAGTAGATATATAGTCCTGAATAGTTTATTTTTTCCTGCTTCAGAGGACTCAGAAATATTTGATTTTTTAGTCAGG